GTGCACCTCATTTGCTGAAATGACCGCGGTTCGATCCCAGCACCGGTCTCTGCGAAGGCCAATCTTATGCGGCCGTGCCCACTTGAGGTCGTCAAGCCTGCTACAGGTCGCCTTTGGCAGCGCTACACCAAAGCACTGTCGCCGCTACGACACCAACGCGGATTAGACCCCCAATATGACGGAGCGTGTTGTTTGACTATCGTCCTGCAAAATGCTCGTGCTGTCGCGGCTCAGTAGCCTCGTGCGCAGCGGGCTAGGGCTTCGCCAGGACCGCCACGGCCGCCACAAGTGCGGCGCTTTTGTCGCGAGCCGTTTGTGTTTTCCTTGCGCGAGTCGCTTGCAGTCGCAGACGACGGTCGTCGTCTCGCTCGAGCACAAGTCGGTGAGCGATCGCGTCGAGAGCACGTAGACGCTCGAGTGGGTATTGTAAAAGGGCTTCTTGTGGACGTAGTGGTGGAGCACGCCGCCGTCCATGAGCCCATTGCAGAGCCGCGTTGCCTCAGCTGCCGAGAAGGCGTACGGACCGTCCAAAACGCGGCGAACGAGCGCGTCGCCCGTCACCTCGACGACCGGTGTCGCGCACAGCTGCGGCGCCAGCACCGCTTCACTCAGCGCCGCCTGGAGCTGCTCCAGGCGCGACACAATCGTCGCGGCCGAGATGCGGTAGAGCGGCGACGGACACCACGCACTCTCAAGAAGATCGGCGAGCGCCGGGTGCAGATTCGCGTCCAGCGGAGGTCGGTGGCCGTCGAGCACGAGTTCAAAGACGCGGAAATGATTGTGGTGGCCCAGCGGGTACTTGTCTCGGCCCGGGTGGCAAATATCCCAGAGCGTGATCGCCAAGCTGAAGACGTCGGCGCGGTCATCGTACGACGCGCGGCCCTGCGCGCCGTCAATGACCTCGGGCGCCATGTAGTCGAACGTCCCGCGCACCGTCATGCTGCGCTCACGCGTCGCAACGCTTCGCGCGTCGCCAAAGTCAGAGAGCTTGAGCACATGCTCCTCGCCCACGAGGAAGCTCGAGGGCTTCAGGTCGCGATGGAGGAAAGGCGGGGTGAAGCTATGGAGGTACGCGACCGCGCGGGCCGCGTCCAGCATGAGACACAGCTGCGGCCAGAGCGGTTCGAGATACAGTGGCGGTGGCGCACTCAACACGTCGCTGAGGGTCCCGACGCAGAGCTCCGACACAAAGCAAATCGCGGGCGGCGAGACGCAAATACCGTAAAATGCAACGATATTCGGGTGCTGCAGCGCGGCCCAGAGCGCGGCCTCGTGTGAGAACTCGAGCACGGCCGCCTGCGAGATCTCGGGCGGCGTAAACACCTTGATCGCGACCGGCCACTTGGCAAAGAGGGTGCCCCGGTGCACAGTCGAGGCAAGGCCGCCGCCGATGCAGTCGTCGACCTTGAGGTGCGCAAAGTCGACGACGTGATGTTCATGCAGCTCCAAGAGTACGTGGAGGCCCTCGCTCGAGACGGCTTCGTGGAGCACGGTCGTCGTGCGCTCGCGCGTAAGCGAGACCGCGCGCTGCCCGAGGCCGCGCCAGTGCTCCGTGTCGGCGCGTAAGAGCCGCCATAGAAAGTACGGCAATAGCGTGTCCCACACGAGCATGACCACGAGGAAGGTCGCGCCGACGCCCATGTTGTCGCGGAAAAAGAGGTACGATTGAATCCCAAGCGCTATGTAATAGACCAAGACAAAGCCCGCAAACTCGCGCCACACCCGCGGCGACGCGCGCGAGAGCGGGAAGATCGCAATGTACACGTAGCCAAAGGCGAGAAGCCCCGAGTAGATGGACTGCGCAATGTACCGCGTCGTGCTTGGCGTGTCGAGAAACGTAAACGCCGTGGCCATCGCGAGCGGCGGCGTCATGAGCCCGAGCGCGATCGCACCGGCGCGCCGCAGCGCCCGCTTCGAGACGCTGCGCTGGCTGAAGAAGAGCACGATAAAGTGGTTGAGCGCCTGCCGGCCTTGGAAGAGCGCTTGGAGCGCGACGCCCGACCCGAGCGCACCGGTAAAGTTGACAATGGCCACGACTGTAAAGTAGAGGCCGAGCACGAGCGACGTGATGGCGATCGTCCGTAAGAGCGGCTCGAACGACGGCAGAATGAGCTTGCGTGTCGCGCCGTCGTCGCCCGAGTAGGCGGTCGCGCGGTGCCGGCGCAAGTGCACAATGAGCGATGTGCACACAAGCGCGAGGATGGCGTACCCGATGGCATTGACGATCTGGAGGCGTCGGTACGCCGGCAGAAAGTCCGCCGGCAGCTGTGCAAAGCCCTTGGGGATATTCATGCTCGTAGTAGCGCTCATGCGAATCGACTCTGAGAACCAGATACCACCGACGCATGGGTCAAGTGGGCCCTGGTCACATTTGCCAACTTTAGCGCCAGTATGCGTATCCCATGCACCAAGCCCACGCACAAGAAGCAGCTACGAGCTGCGCGAGAGCTACGATCTGGGATGCGCCCGAGGCCCTCAAGGCGCCGCGCTGGACCTCATGCTGGACGTCAGCCACGCCGGAAGGATCGCACCGTCGCATCCGGATCCGGAAATATGCTTTAACGTGATTTGAAGAAAGGCGTCATATTACGTTTTAGGTCCACTCGGTTGCCGCCTAACAACACGAGCAGAAAGCTTGTGTAGCCAGCGTGCATACCGGTACAGTAGCTACAAAGCGAAAGCACCAACGTAAGTCCACGATTCGTCTGGCTGGTAGCTCTCGTGATGGCCAGCAGTACGTACCGTGTGGCACGGAGAAAGCTTAACCCTTCAACCCCCAACTAAGTACCGGTATCGTTGTGGCATCCTTGGCATTAGCTCGGGGCTGTTGTCGTGCTGCATCGCTACATAGTGCTGCGCTGGACCGCTGGCCAGCACGAGTTGCAGCCTCCTTGAGAAACGGGACGCAAATTTGTCTACGTGCACCACTGGTTTGAACCCGTAAAACCTCTTTTGCCCATCTATAAAAGCGCGTTTAAACAGATTCTGCTCACCGCGTTTTAATTGCGTCGACCACCAAAATGGGTTTCCGCGGAACGCTCCTCGAGCGTCGGCGCGACGCGGCCCCAGGCTTCCGCGCCGTCGCAGCGGCCTGCGAGCTCGTCCTTGTGATCGAGCGCATTGCGCCGTCCGAGATCGACGCATCGGGAACCGTCGACGCCAAGGCGCTCTTCCAGGACCCGGCGACGAAGCAGCTCTACAGCATCGCGCGCCTCGCCGACGTGACGCTTGAAGCCGGTGCGATGTTTTGGCACGCGGACGAGACGGCCGTGCACTGCTTCCGCTTCGACGCGGCCTTTGCGTTCGCCGAGGTGGAGCGCGCGGTCGCGTCCATTCGCCGCCAAGAACAGCTCGCGCTTCTCCAGCACAGCCTCGACGCCAAACACTACGCGACGTGCGCCAGCGTCATGACGTCCATCATCGCGACCGAAGATCGCAAGGAGAAGAATGCAACCAAGCGTGTACGCGACGAGCCCGTGCGCGCACGGAAGAAGCAGCCGCGCCACGATGCGACCAGCGACAATCGCACCTTCAACCTCCAGTGCATCACCCAGCCCGGAAGGTACCTTAGCTGCGTTTTGTATCCCCGTTACGACGTGTTGTAGCGCCAACCATGCTCGGCGCGTCTGCCACCTCTGTCATCTCGCGTACGCTCTCACAGGGCCGAACGAACGTGCAAATCTCATGCGCCAAGACGCTGTAGGCAAGACCGTGCTGTGTTCCACTGCCCCAACGGAGACGCTCGCCATACGTTCTGTGCGACTTGCATGCAAACGCACTTTGGCCAAAACGAGGCAGCGTTCGTCTCGGGCACGGTTCGGTATCATTGCCGGCTCTGCGCCCACGACTGTTCGTGCGCGGCCTGCCAGCAACCACGGTGCGTCCCCAATGACACCAAGCTCTTGAGCCCGCATGCTCCCGTAGACAGCTGCTTACCTGCGTCGTGTGCACCTCCAAGGATGATGTGGTGCCACACCCGTCTGTCCTCCAGGTGCGACCACCCGAGTGATGCCGACGGTTCGACGTCTCTCGACCGAGTAGAACACGCACGGGCAGCCGCTTTCGCTCTGTGCGTCGTGTCTGGATACGCTTCGTGCAAGCCAAGAAGGGTCGGCGCCGTTCTGCACGCTCTGTGGTGGCCTCGACGAGACGCCATTGCGCTGCAGCACGTGCAAGCGCGAGTTCTGCGACCCGTGCCAAGACCTCATGGGCACGTTGTCGTCCGAGGCGACTACCAAGTGGCAGTGCGCGTCCTGCGTCCTGCCCTCCTTTGCCTCAGTTGCAATCACGTGCGTTCTTTCCACGATGTTAGAGGCAACAGAGCAATGTAGGCCCAAGGCCAAGGCGATGGGCGTCGTCCTCGTCGACCCCACGGACGCGCTCACGTACACGGTGAGCTACGCGACGATGCTCGTACAGCGCGAAGCCACCAAGGTGCCCCTCATCTCGGAAGACTCGTGCTTCTGCTGCAAGGACGGCGGCGTCCTCATTGAGTGTGACCACGTCGCGTACGTCTCGTAGGCTGCGAGCCGCCTAATCTCTGTATAGAAAACACAAGGGCGCCGTGCGCTGCCCCAAAGTCTACCACCCCGGTATTCATCCGACCTCCTCCTCTGCCTTGCGTCATCGATCGCTAGATTGTCTCGGGAGTGCGATACCAGACAAAGGTCTCTGGCGCTGCCCCCGCCACTTTTGCTTCAAGTGCTCGGCGCCAACGACGCACTGCTGCCGCTTCTGCGTCGCGGCCTACTGCGAGGTGCCACCCAGCATTTGGCGATACGTTGTGTCATTCGGCGACGCGTAGAAGCACGTGCCCCGGACGGCGGTGGTTCTCGGACCGGCGCCAGCGGATCTGCCCAACGCGACCTACATTACGTGTCGCCCGTGCATCGAGCAGCTCGACGAAGCCGCTGCGCGCGGCTTGCTCCCGAGTGCCTTTTACTCGGCTACTAGTTAGTTGACGAAGTTGTGTCAGTGCTAAGAATAGGAGGAGTTTCGCCGCCTGTTTAGACAGGGAGCTTTCTATTTGCGCTTGGACGTTGGCGCCACCGCGATGAGCGTGAGCGTCAAGTCGCCACGCATGATGGCCAAGCCCGGCGCGCGGTCGGTCGTGCCGTCCGACTCGCTCCCGCTGCAAAAGGCCCTTGAGGCCACAGGCGCCCGGCGCGGCGGTGTCCGCGTCAAGCAGCCACCGCGCGCCAAATGGATGGACAAGTACTTCTTGGGCACTTGTCGTCTTGGATGTTGATGGTCATGGTGTGGTCTAGGCGGCGCGCGCGCGTCGGCAGCTTCATGATGAACATCAAGGTCGAGTTCTTCTTCATCACGCTCGTCATCACGTACGGCATCTTTGTGGTACGTCAACCTCGTACGTCGACGCGATTTCATGGCATGTAGCTGGTGCAAATCGCCTTCTCCGATACGTTTGCAGAGCACGACGCCGAGAACCCGGACGACCAGTACCAGCCGATCTTCAACTACGTCGACTTGGTCGTCGGGTCGCTCCTCATGCTCGAATTGGGCCTCCGCCTCGTTGGCTTTGGCACCAACATACTCAAGGGGTTTTGGAACCTATTTGACGCGATCGTCGTCATCGGGTCGTTCGTGCTGGGCATCATCAGCGTCACGACCAGCTCGCACAACCAGTCCAAGCTCGTGGTCTCGCTGCTCCGGCTGCGCATCATTCTTCGCATCTTTCGGCTCCTCGTGGTGTTTGAGCGCATCAAGCAGCGCTCGAAAGCGATTCAGTTTGCACACCGCGGCAATCACGGCCTCCAGTCGCCGCTCGAAATGGTCCTTGCGTGTCTCAACGAGCTGCGGTTCCACCCGGCGATCAAGCCGACAACGCACGACGAGCTCGACTATGCGATCTACGTGATCAAAAGCAACAAGCTCTACGACGCCAGCGAGCACTTGATCCAGGGCCAAAACATCGACGCCGATACGCAAAACTACCTCCGCAACGTGCTGCTCAAGAAGAACGACAACGTCCTCGGGGACAATGCGCAGAATCCGTCGACGCCGCGCGGCAACAATGGCACCGTCGACGACGATGGGAAAGGCGGTCGGCAGGTGCCGCCGCTCTTGCGCATGCAGTCGTCCAGCACCCACGACCTCTTCCCGCTCACCGAGCACAGCCGCGCCGAGTTCAATACGCTCATGACGTCTGTGAGCGAGTGGGACTTTGACGTCTTCCACGTCCACCGTACGCTTCTCGTGACATGATTGAACGCTCAACGATGCCCATGATTAGATGTGACGCGCGGCAATGCGCTCTCGCATATGGGGTACTACCTTCTCCACGACATGGCGCAAGACACGCTCAAGATCGAAGGCCGCGTCCTCGCTGCGTTCCTGTTAGAGATTCAGAAGGGCTATATTCTTACCAACCCTTACCACAACGCGATCCACGCCGCCGACGTGATGCAGACGTCCTACTACTTTAGCTGCCGCGCGTCGATCGCGGGCTTTCTACGGCCGCTCGACAAGACGTTGCTATTGCTCGCTGCCAGCATCCACGACTACAAGCACGACGGCTTCAACAACGGCTTCCACATTGCGACCGGTACGCCAATACGTCACGGTTTGTTGGGGTGACAGGGGAGGGGTAGGGTCCGAGCTCGCGATTCGCTACAACGACACAGCCGTGCTCGAAAACTACCACGTGGCGCAGACGTTCTTGACGATGAAGGCGACAAGCTGCAATATGTTCCAGAACCTCGCGCCCGACGACTTCAAGTCTCTTACTTGTCGCAACACACAAGGTTGTCATGGGTGCATTAGGTACGCGCGGGACATGGTGATTCAGATGGTGCTGGGCACGGACATGGCCAAGCACTTTGAAGACGTCGCGCTCTTCAAGGCGACGATCATGCCGGCCACGCCGGACGACGCCGTCGACATCAAGTCGGCCGGGTACGCGACTTGTTTTTGTCATGCGTTGCGACTCGCTCTGTGGTAGGGACAAGAAGCTGCTGATGAAGATGATTCTGCACACGTCCGACGTCTCCAACCCCGCAAAGATGCGCATCACGATGGTGCGCTGGACGGACCGTGTCGTCGAGGAGTTCTTCCTCCAAGGCGACAAGGAGAAGGCGCTCGGGCTTGTCGTGTCGCCGTTCATGGACCGCGTCACGATTTCGCTCAAGAAGATGCAAGTCGGGTTTGCCGACTTTGTCGTGACGCCGCTCTTCCACGTTTGGAGCAACATTAGCGAGCAGGTCAAGGACGAGGGCTACCGCACGCTGCTCGAGAACCGCGAGTGGTGGAGCACTCGCGACGACGACTTCAAGCACGCGATGCTGCCCGACATTGCCAAGGCAATAGCTTTCTATATGCACCAACGACTAGCACAACTGATAGTTGGTCGACTAGGAGCTTGGCGGCCACGACAGTCGCATCATGTCGATGACGGATCCGAGCATGGGCATCATTGACGAGAGCGAGCCGCCGCCAGTCCTCTCGACGCAATCGTCCAAAGTCATGAGCCTCGGGCGGGAAAAGGCAGCAGCGTTAGAGCCGCTGCAATCGATACCGTCGTCGTCGCCGTAAGAACCGTACTTTAGCTGCTATTAGTGTACACTTGACACTCGAGTCGATCGCGTGGATAATATTTGATCTCCAATCAAACTCGATACTCCGTACTTGATAGAGCTCTTGATATTATAACAATAAGAGCTTAGTTGTACCAACTAAGTTACGATTTGGTCTCATATATCTCTATTGGGACGAGGCACGCCAGGCCAGGCGTGCCACCGAGCAGCAGGGGCAAAGCACGCACGCACGCACGCCTTGTCGATCGTCGTCGGCGCCTCGTGGACGTGGGCTTGGCGAGACTGACTACGCACCATCTCACCAATCGCCCCGCTCGACGCTTTTGGACCAATCCGACGCGCGGCATCAACACTGGCCTTACGGTCCGCGCCTCTGATTGGTTCCTGGAAAACAAAACGACCAATCAGAAACGCCGGACTCGGTTTCTATCGAGAAGCGAACTGCCTTGATTCACAATACATTGACACAGAAGATTGACGGCCATGCCCCGCGCCGCGATCGAGCTGGCCGAGCGGTCGCAGTGGTCGGCGCTGGTCGACCTCCTCGCCGAGCAGAAGCACGTGGCGCGCGAGTGCGACGACTTTGGCATGCTCGCGCTGCACTGGGCGTGCACAGATGGCTCGGTCTCGGTCGCCGCCATTGACGCGCTCCTCGACGCGTACGAAGCGGCTGCGATGCGCATCAACAAGGGCGGCCTTTTGCCGCTGCACATTGCGGTTAAAGCCAAGGTCGAAGACGCGATCCTCCTCCGGCTCATCACAGCCTACCCCGACGCGCTCATCGTCAACACGCCGACCGACGAGACGCCGGTCGATCTCGCGGAGAAGGTCCAGTCGCCGGCGTACATTTGGCTGTTAGAGCACGAGAACGCGTACCGCATCGCATCGGGCCTTGAACCAAGGCGGCAAGCCTCGGCGCTCGTGTCCGAGACCACGCTGCCGCCGCGCTGGAAGCAGGAGAAGGCGTGCCACGTCTGCCACATTCGCTTTAGCACGTTCCGGGCGAGACACCACTGCCGCGCGTGCGGCGTCTCAGTGTGCAGCGCGCACTCGAACAAGCGCATTCCGCTGCCGTACCTCGGCATTACCGTGCCCCAGCGCGTGTGCACGACCTGCTTTGACGCGGCGTCGCACCGCCAGAGCCAAGAGCCGCCGACGCCATCGCGCGCGCGGTCCCACACGACCATGTCGATGCTCAAGCCGCCGCCGCGCCGCAGCACAACGCCCGTGCTCCTCGAAGCCGACTCCACCATGGACTTTGCCATGCCGCTTTTGCCCTCCAAGGCGATTCCGCGGTATTTGTATCAAGTTGACTTGATACTATCTTGATACATTGCACCAGGATTCGAACCGCGCCGCGCCTCAACAGCCTCGAGGAAGGGTCGGCCGAAGACCTTGAAGTCCGAAAGCACGAACTCATCGAGAGCATCGAACATGCCAACGTCGAGACGCGGTACCTGCAGCACTCGCGCCGGCACGTGGACAGCAGCATCGAGCGGTTGCGGTCGTCGACGCTCTCGACCACTGGGTCCTCGATCAGCGTACGCCGTCTTGCGAGACCCATCGTCGTCTCATGGCACCGTGTAGGACAAGTCCTCGACTCATGTGGATCTCGCGCAGACGCATTTTCTGCTCGGTACTCACACTGTCTGCTGGCGGTGGAAGGACATTCTGCTTGTCGTAGGCAGCGCGCTCGCCGAGAAGGAAGAGCACTCGAGTGCGATTGTCGAGCTCCGCAAAAGCCTTGCTGTCCACGAGCACGACCCGAAAGTGTGGCTGGCGCTCGCCCGATCGCTGCACAGTGTCAACTCGGACAAGGAAGCCGAGGCAGCTGCGCGACGGGTACATATTCATACGAAATCGAGACCGCTGATCGGGCCCCACAGGTGCTCAAGATGAACCCGTCCGGGCAGAACGGACCGGTGCTGACCCTGCTCGGCAAGATCTTGCACGCGCGGGGCGACACGGACGGCGCGATTCGCATCTTCCAACAGGCGCTTGGGACGTTCTACCTCGAGGACGACGACGAGGTCCAAGTCGGCGCGGCGACCACCGAGTTTTGACGTAATTTTGCCGCATAAATTAACCATTTTTGCTTGTCATTACATGTTGTAGCCTCGGCTGTGCACCTGAAACTGGTGGTGCAGCTGCTGCTGTTGCTGCTGCTGCTGCTGTTGTTGCTGGTGATGGTGGTGGTGCATGGCCGCTGCCGCATGGTCGAACGGCATGTGATGGTGCATCATCGGCTGCGTCGGTGTTGGCATCATGAGCATCATGTTGTCCGTGAGGAGGCCGGTGGGCAGCGCCTGAACGAGCGATGGCGGCGTCTCGGTCGGCGGCGGCGTCGCCTTGGTGGTGTTATGGACGGTCCAGACAAACCCCATCGACTCGAGCTTGCGCTTGCGAACGAGCGGCATCGTGTGCTCCTTGTTGCGCAAGTCCTTGACGACCCAGCCGAGCTGCATGTTCCACACCTCCTTGGGCCACGCCGGGTCGTTCTCGGGCACTTGGAACGACTTGGGGACCTTGAGGTGGTTGTAGTACCGGTGGTACGTCTCGAGACCGAGGAGCCGGTGTTCCCAGCTAAACTTCTTGCTCGCGCACCACACCATACCGAGTTCGTCCATCGCTTGCTTGCGCGACGCGGGCAATAATGGCAGCCGCTGGCGCAAGTTGATGACGACGCGGCCGAGCTTGAGCCCCCAAAACTCGGCTGGCCACGTCTCGTCGTCGGCCGGCACGACAAAGAACTGGGGCACCTTGATGTGTCCGTGGAGCTCCTTGAAGCGCTTGAGCGCGACAAGGTGCGACTGGAACGTGGCCTCGTGGCTGTCCCAGATGAACCCGAGCGCCTCGAGCTCCTTCGACCGCGCCTGCTTGCTCTCCATGCCGTAGCCGCGAATGTTGTGCACGACGTGCCCGAGATGGATTCCGACGAGGTCCTTCGGCCACGCTGGGTCGTCGGCCGGCACGACGAACCGATCGGGCACGCGGAGGTGGCCTTTGAGCGCCCGGAACGTCTGCAAGCAGCGCAGATGGAGATCCCACTTGAACTGGTTCAGGTCCCAGACAAAGTGGAGCGCGTCAAGGACCTCGACGACGTCGGGCTCGAGGCGGCGCTTGCGGTACCATTCGCGAAAGAGCGCAATGTCGAGGGTCGCGCCGTGCAGATGGGCGGGGAACGGCGGCTCGCTCGGCACCGTGTACTTGGACGGAAGGTGGACGTACTTGGTGTCGGCGGGCAGGTTTTCGTAAATGATGGTTGCGACCTCGGTCAAGACACGCTGCTTGGCCACGGACGTCTGTCCCGACTCGCTGGGCTTGCGGCTACGGACGCGCTGCACGTACGGGATGGCGGGCGGAGGCGGCGGCAACGACACCGCTTCGTTCGCCGGCGCCGCGGTCACGGGCGGCGTTGGCGCGACGCCAAGGAGGTACACGATCTTCTTGATCTCGCCGACAATGTCGAGCGTGGCCTCGAACGTCATGTGCATGTCGGCCTCGTCCATCTCCGTGTGCATGTTGGCGTACTTGGAGGTAGCGTCGCCGACTTTGACCTGGGTGTCGGCGACGCAGGCGGCGAAGCGCCCGCCGGCGAAGGCCGCGAGGATCTCGTGGAAGGTCATGCTCGGCAGGATCTGCGTGATCGAGCGCTGCAGCACGGTCTCGCCGTCCATGACGCACACGGCGAGCGCAGTCCGACTTGCCATCGCCGCGTCTCCGCAAATGAGGAATTGACCGGTGGCCGTCCAAGGGCGTTTTATTAAAAGACATACTATCTTTTACAAACTCCAAGTCATAAAATATATTTTGCACGTCCGATTTGAAGTTCGCCAGATTTGAGGGCGACCACGCGCTTCGCCACGGCAGTTCCCCGCTGGCGTCAGTATACAAACACCAAGGTATTTCAAACGGGCGTACCTAATCAAATCGCACTTGAGCGAGGCACACGTGGCAGCTGGCAACGCCGCCATTTCTTCTTACTCCACACACTCGGTTCTTATCGTAAAGCGTCCTGCGTGGCGTCGTACGAGGCGCTGCGGTCGCGTACTAGGCAGAGCGATACGATGCAACGGTGACGACGATGCATTGTGCTCGACATGGTATCGCGCAAGCACCACAACCGCTGCGCACGCTGGCTGGGGTGGCAGCGGTGGTTCGTCCAGAGCCGCCGAGGTAGTTCCGATGCCAAGGAGAAAGAACGGGTCACCCACCACCTGCGGGGCTCGAAGCGGAAACCCACCGAGTGCACTCAAGGGAATCGGCAAGGTGCCACCTGTATCTTGACGGCGACAACAGCACGTGGCAAGTCTCTGGGATGGTGGTCGCAGACTTGATGAGGTCGTGACCCGCTCGATGTATCAACGACGATATTGATACCATGGTGTCGTCGCTCAGGCCGATTCCTGAAGTTCCACGATTCACCTTGCGTCTCGGACTGGCAGCAAGATACTGGTGACGTTGCAGTGTCACAGCGTATGCACCCGAGGGCTTGAGATGCGCCCATCGACCTGGTTGCTATCCCGTTGAGCGCCATCCACGCCATGCGAGCGCCCATAGCGGAGTCGAAGCAAGAATACGTCACATTACACAAGGAAGTCAACAAGAGGAGACATCAAGAAAGGGTTGTGGGCGGTCATGCGTTGGGGAGGTTGCAGAAGAAGTCGAGTGCGTCTTCGAGCGGGAGGTCGGTCACGACGTCGTCGAGTGACGCGCTGGGCGCAGTGAACGGAATCGGCTCGATCGCGGGTACCTTGAGGTTGGCCGAGTGCTTGGAGCGGGCGCACGTGAGCGGCTCGTCGTCGGCGTGGTCGCGCCGGTGCTGGCGCACAAGCTTCTCTTTGCATTTCTGCATGTGTGTCTGCGTCTGCTTGGCGTTGCGCGTCTGGACGATCTCTGCGATCGCCTTCCACGGGCCTTCTGGGTAGAGCTGGAGCGCCATGAGGAAGCGCTCGTGCTCGTCGGCCGACCACGCGCCCTCGTTCGTCTCGCGCGGCCGCTTCTTGGAGACGGTCTCCGACGACGGCGATGGTGGGGGAAGCATGCGCGACGCGATCGTGCTTGGGCAGTGCAAAACTGAATCTGTGGAGAGGTTCAAGGATCATGGCGTCGGCTGGCGGCGGCCGTGGCACCTCGCCGTCTCCACGGATCGGCTGCCCGCGAGGCTGGTCCCGCAACGTGACCAACCATAGCAGTTCCTGAACATAGTTGGCTTGCAACGATGTATTACTTTAGCTGGCAATAGAGCAAGGCGCGTCGGTGCTCGTCGCGCGTGAGCGGAAGGCGAGCTGCAGAACCGAAGGCGAGCTGCAGAACCGAAGGCGAGCTGTAGACGGGGAGGCGGCGCAGCTGGCGCAAAGATAACGCTGCTACAAGTATACGTACACCGGCATGGCCATGTGGGCAAGCAACCGCCGTCGACCCGCGTCGATATGTAGTAGACGGACGAGCGGGCCTGATATGCATGGCGCCAGGGCGACCGCTGCTGGTCACAGGATCAGGCTCAAGGTTTGAATGAGTCATTAGTCGTCCTGTTCGACCTTGCGAGCCATGTCTTTGGCGAATCTAAGCCGCCAGTTCCTACTATCATACGAACTAGCGTCGGCGTCCTACTTACTGCCTACAAACGTGTTGGCAAAAACATACACATCCGCCAGATTGCCATTGCAGCAGCTATTCTTGAAAATCACTTTGCCACAGCAAATATCGTTGTGGCGACCCAAAATCCCCAAATGGCCGGGAAGAGTCGAGTGGCGCACGATGATGCCGTCCAAGGTTTGTACTATAGAACCCGATCGCGTTCGATGGCGTTCGTCGTCGCGGTGACGACGCCACGAGCGTGCAACGATGGCGCGTCAAAGACACTTCATGGTTTCACATTGCCAAGTTCCGGGTACCGTGGGAGCTGACAAGCCGATGGGTGCGATACGACGAGTACTGTTTGGTCGATTGAAGCAGCAACCTTGGTCGGGTTTTGCGCTTGGTTTTGCACAGCATCCATCAAATGTAGTACAGTACTATACCACCCGTTGACACGGCGAGGCTGTCGACGGAAGTTTGGCGTTCGTTGCGTACACGGGTCGTCGGTGTCGCGTCAACGACGAATTGATGTGCTCCTTCCTCAATCTACTCGCACCCAAGTCGTCGTCGCATTTCGTAGTCGACGCGTACAGCTGGACTCGTGAAGTCGAGTCGAGTGTCGACGGCAACGATGGGACGCGTACCGTGATGTTGGTGGTAAAAATACGAGCGTGATTCGCAAGCGCCACCCGCTTGCGCAACAGTGGCGGTCGTGCACGTCCTTTTTGGTAGCTAGAAAGGGCACCAGAGACGGTGAGCACTTTGATGAGCGCCGTCGCATTGTCATGGACGCTGCAGTTGCGTCAGGCCACAGAAAAGGCGTACACTCTGTAAGCCGACGAGTCGGCACGCGTGCATGGTTTCTGACAACTCGAGGGAGCTGATGTGTGAATTCGTATCAATTTAGCGAAACTCGGATTTTAATATTATTATTGCCTCCGGGAAATCGCCAACGCGATGCAAACGGGCCAGATGTTTCTTACTTGATCGCAATCGATGCTTAGTATCCATTTTTGGCTATCATTTGCCCTAAATTTGCCCTGCATTTGCCCACCGGTTCTTGAAATACCATCAAAGTATCGAACCGTCAGCACCACGAATGTATATGACGAGTTTCAAGGTGTAGAAATACCGGTTAGCGTCAGTGGGCATTGGGTTAGCGTACTTGATACGTTCTCTTTTAGCCTCTCAGTCGAAACCAAATTTGACAGCACGAGTCTTTTCGACAAAAGGATTTCTAAGGTGCCACATCGAGCACGACGACAGTATTCGAAAAGGAAAATACAAGCTTCAAGAAGGGTACGTTGTTGAGTATATCATCACGTGCGCACGAGACGACGAGCTCTACCGATGGGTCGCCGTCGCCTCGCGCAATAAAATAGTGTAAGAAATAGCATCACGGCGACGTCGCCGTCGTCATGTCTTGTAGGAAAAAGTCGAGCGCCGCGTCGATCGAGATGGAGCAGTCGCTGAGCAAGCTCCCGGGCATCGCGAGCCGGTGGTCGAACGGGATTGGCTGCAGCTCGGGGATGCGCAAGTTTTGCGAGTGCTTGGAGCGGTGGATCACATACGGCTCAATGTCGTCCGAGTCGGCGCTGGACGTGCGCTTGAAGCGGCGCTGGAGCTTCTCTTTGCATTTCTGCATGTGCGTCTGCGCTTGCTTGGCGTTGCGCGTCTGGATGATCTCGGCGACCGCCTTCCACGGGCCTTCCGGGTAGAGCTGCACAGCGATCAAGAACCGCTCGTGCTCTTCCTTGGACCACGCGCCTTGGTTGACGTTCTCATCGACAACACCCAAAGGCGACACAACTTTCGGTGTCTTGAGAATGTCCATCGTCGGCGGCATCGGTGCGAGCATTTTCGAGGGAGTGTGTAGTCGTATTGGCAAGTGCTCGGTGGCGCGCGGATCGGCAACTGAGCAAATAGTAATCGGCGCAAACCCAAGAGTGGGATCTCGCTAAATCCCTGTTGTTGAAGATGAGCACGCTGAGACAATACCCGTTTGCGGCGAAGAGCTGTGTCGCCAAGTCGCAGATCGACGCGGATCGCTGCCGTCGAAATGGAAGCTTTCTCCTTGGCTGCACCGACGACATACAACGGTAGGAGCACAAATCACACAGTTTACCAAACGCAGACACAGAAAAAGTAATCGTTGCAGCAAAAGCGGTTTTTTCCTCCGTCCCTACCGGTGCAACGATCGGTGATGGACAGGATGGCGCGACCACACCACCTGTGGTCGCGCCGTGTTGATGAATTGACATACCCCGTAATCGCGATATCGTTCCTACGACTAGCTTGGATAACCTGAACAAACTAAAACTACGTACGTAGGCTCCTCTTGTCTTGGCGTCGTTGCGAAGAGAAGACGTAAAGGCCTTTGCGCGTTGCACGTTAACGCCAACAATCTCTCGTACGTAGTACGTCCCACGCTTTGACCGTCTCCACCTCCGCACCCACCATCCATTCCGTGGTCGTTTCTTTCGCACACGGACGATCGTCCGTTTCGACTTGGCGTAGAGACGCGATGGCACTGATGTGAGCCTGCGTCGCATCGATATTCTTCAATAACTACAGTGGATCGTGTCTAGTGAATTGAACGAAAGACAGGGCCCGGACGAAAAATAAGAATACTACCGCGTAGACATATGGTCTACACGTCCACCTGCCGAAACGCATCACGAGTGCCATGGTTCGCACCTCCACCGCTGTCAAGACTGCGAGCGAACCGAGCCGAAGCGTCGCGATGTCCTTTATGCTGTGGCGACGATCGGGCAAGATGCCACTCATGTGGGCGATCTTTCGATCAGACACGAAGCTTTGCGTGCCAGCTGGCGACCAAGTGCACTTTCGAGCGGGTGTGTCCCACGGGTTAACATCACAGCTCTGCGCAAACGGAGCGATTACGCTCAACCGCAGCGACAACCAGCCCTGCAACACGACTTGTCCACGCGATCGCAAAAGTGATAAAAACGGTACGGCGCTCAACTATGCGCACGAAGTCGACCAATGTGTCCTGCATCAGTCCTACCTTCGAACGATGTGTGGAGCAGCGTGGACACTTTGATCTGCAAAGTTTAGTATCTCTTATGCACAGCACGGTCGTGCAGAGGCGGGTGGTCGCTAGGTGCGGACGCCATACGTTGCCTCGAGAAACGACCGGCGGAGACCGACAACGGCGGACAGGACCAGCGCACGTTTCTTTGAGGCGACGCAGTTGATACGGCACGTCATGTCCGGCGTCTCGAAGCCCATCTGGATCGCGTCTTGAAACTGCGCGCTATGGACGTCCAGATCGAGATTGGCCATCTGCGGTTCGCGCTGTAGCAGCACGCAGTGGCTCGTCGCTAAGCACCATACAACGGGTCTGCACACATCGTTACGGCAACGGAATGAACTACCTGCACGCAACGATTTTTCAAAGTCCCACATCGCCAACTCGAGGAGGACACAGTGGGTCGCGCGGCTTGTAAACGCATCCGTAGCGATCGCGAGGTGCGGCAGGTCGGCCAAGAGCCGGCACTTGTCTCGGAAGGCACCCTACCCACGCCCGTCACAGATGCAAACACAGCGGCTCTGCGTACCGCAGGCGAGAGAAGGTGTGCTGTGGCACCGTCTTGGGTACGATCAAAGTCGACGGCGTAGAACTCGTGCTCCCAGAGTACCGTGCTATCCAGCTGCCGCATCGTGACGGCGATCGTGTACCCATGAAAACCGTGCTGCGAGTCAACATCGTCGTAGACGGGTGCGACGACCCGTCCAAGAAGCGTCGTCGCGAGGGCTGGCAGCGATGCAATCGCGTGTACGCTAGTTAGATAGTCCATACATCTATATACTACATCGAGCAAGGAGAAGGAGGTGTGGTACCGAAGCACTTCGAGGCCGGCCTTCCAGACGAGCGCGATGAGCGTGTACGACGGTACCATTGCTTGGTAGATGCCGAGGTCGGTGCCGTCATCTGTCGTCGCCACAAGACGCCACGACGACGACGGTACCTGGTACGCAGCCTCGATGAACGTCAACGTCTTGGGCGATCGCGCGGCGATAGAGATGGTTGTGAGCTTGCGAAGCGTGGTGTGCGGCTCGATCGGGAGGGTTGCTGTCGTGAGCGCCAGTGCCACCGTCGCATGGTTATTGTTCTTGCTCGTGGACGAGAGGAGGCTTGTCGATTGGCCACCGCCGATCGCGACAGACAGCGTCAAGTCCAGAGCCAGGACGGCGTTGCGGAAGGTGTGAATGACGGCGCGGTCATGACACCGGTTGATCTTAGCGTTCCATAGATCCACCGTCTTGACCTTGGCCAGAGGCTTGGCGGGCCGCACTGCGACGCTAGGTGCTAGCATAGCGCCTGCCAGCGCCTTGGTGGTGTCGGTACGGGCGGTGGTTTGACCAGTCGGCGCGGGCCCACGAGCCGCCTTGCGCTGCAGTACGGTGGTGTTGGGTGGCGCTACCTCGCGCGGCCCATGGAGCGAGGCTGGGGCTTGCAGCGAGGCGGCGCTCTGGCCAGTACGCGGTGCTGACGAGCGACGCATGGCTGACGCTTCAAACCGCGATGAAACGTCGCACACTAAACTTATTGTCGTCTGTTCGACAAGTAGCATGTGTATAGTGTGAGCTACATCACGTAAGCGTGTGGCGTGATGCTCGTAATGTCAACAACCACAGAAAAGTCCCCCTGGGGGTGTAATCTGGTGACAGAGGTGGCTACGATCTGCGTTCGCCGGATGGAGGCGCCGGCCGCAAGCGCACGCAATGCAGTGTTTATGCTCCGGCACCGGCGTGTTCCTTCAAGGAATCACGCCATCTTGGTGCCACCACGGTGCGATGCTTCGGTTCTTTGCGTCGACGCTTCGTCGTCGTAGCCAGGGCACCGACGCTTGTCATGACGGCGACATCGTAAGGTGGTATTACGGGTTCGTATCTGGGCAGTTGTGCGCGGAGCACATGTGTTTCTTCTTCTTGGGCGCGGCCTTGGCGCGCAGCACCTTTTTTGTTCGTCGCGCCTCGGCGCTGCTGCTCGAGTCGTCCGAGTCGGGCTCGCTCTCGCTCGAGCTCTCGCCAAACTCGCGCTTCTTGTGGAAGATGCAGCACTCTACGCAGCAGCACGCTCGACGACGACGACGACGATGGAGAGGCTCGTACTGTTGGACTTCTTGCGCCCCAGAAATTCATTGTCGACGGCAGAGTCGTCAAACGAGACGTGGGCCCGCGGCGCGAGGCGAAGGCGCAGCACCTCTTGCGCTCTGGCTTCGTGCGCGGCCGTCGCGACCTGCGTCTGCGACCCGGCGGGCGCCGTCGCTTGGACCTCGTGCACACCCGGCGTGCTCATGCGGCGACCTGCCAATGCTTGTATGCCACGATGTGGCGGCAACCGGATTCGCCGCTTCGTATCCGGCGGCCACATATCTTGGTCGCGCGGCTAAAAACACGCCACAACGCCAGCCCAGCGACAACTCGTCCAGACCCTCCAGCATACCCTCGATAGTACTGTCCACCTCCATCTCCTGAAGCACATGTACGAACAAGCAGGCAACCTTGGCACGTTTGGCTGTCGGTACTACGAGCAGGTGCCTCACGCAGAGCGTCCGATCGGCCGTAGTTGACACCGCTCGGCTCGTCGAGGACCCAAACCCTTAAGTGATCGACATGATTTGGTCGCTTCCAGCAGTCGGAAGTGAGGCTATGCTCTGTTTGTTGACTGCTAGAGCGTGCAGGAAGGAGCGCTGAAAAGACAACTTGTACACAATACACAACGCGCTTTCTTGGTGACGATACTGCTAAATACATGATTACCGGGTGTCGCCATTGAGATGCGGTCGGTCCATGGCCATGGCCACGGCGCGGAAGTTCAAAATCTCAGCGTAAATGCGCGCCTTGTGCTCGTCCCGCGACAAGCGCTCGTCGTTGTCGTCAAACGGCATCTTGAGCGGCATCGGGTCCACCGGCTACAAAACATAAAATAGACAACTTGTCCACATTCTCCAATCGTACCGCCGCGCCCATTTGACGGGCCTCGCGCAGGAACGGGTGGTTGAGTGCCTCGTCGACCGTGATGCGGCTCGCGGGGTTGAACATGAGGCATTGGCGCAAGAGGTCGAGCGCCTCGAGCGGCGCCCCGGGGTACAGCTCGCGCAGGTCCATCGCCGGCTTCTTCGGGATCTGGCGCAGGAAGGGCGCGAAGCGGCCGCTTTGGTCAATGTCGTAATCGCTCGGCGTGCCGATCGTGTTGAAAATCACGTAGAGCTGGTCCATCTAGCGACACGCAACACTAAGCTCTTAGTCGTCGCAGGATCCGCAACGTACCTCCTTTGTATACGTCGACGTGTCGGTGGGACTGAGCGTCGTGCAGGACCGGCCGGGGAAGATGGGCTTCCGGTCCTATCATACGATCGGATGAGCACGAAAATCAGAGGAGGCGACGGCGTACCTGGTAGTGGCGGCAGTTTTCCTGCTGCATGTTGAGGAGCTCGCCAAAGATGCAGCCGACGCTCCACATATCCACGGGGTGGCCATAGTCCTACACGGTACATTGGGCATGCGACACGGGAGATGGTATTAGTTCGCACCTGGAGCAAGATGAGCTCCGGGGCGCGGTAGAATCGGGAGACGACGTGGCGCGTCATTTGGCGGTGCATGAGCTGAGAAGTATGAGGAGACGCTGGAAAGCGAGGACGGACGTACCTTGGGGGCATGGCCGTCGCCGGCGTCGTTGAACGAGTCGCGCGTCGACGCCGACTGCGCCGGCTGCTCTTGGTCTTCGGTCGACTCGTACACGCGGGCGAGGCCAAAGTCGCAAATCTTGAGCGAGAGATCTTCGTTGAGAAGGATGTTGGCCGGCTTGAGGTCGCGGTGGATGACGTGGCAGAGCTGGAGGTACTTGAGGCCCCGCAAAAGCTGGTGCAGAAACACTTGGACGTGGCGGATGTTGAGGTATTGTGGAAGGCAAAAGAGCTTCTGGAGGTCCGTGTCGGCGTACTCAAACACGAGGTAGAGGTCGTTGAAGCGCGAGAGATCGCTCGGCGGCAAGATCACGTCGACGAGCGCAATCACGTTGGCATGGCGAAGGTGCCGCAAAATGTAAATCTCGCGGTAGAGGCGGACGCAGTCCTGCGCGCGGTCAAAGACGCTGATCACGCGCTTGATCGCGACCCTTCGGTTCATGACCGTGTCGTACGCTTCCGCGACCTAAGCACAGTCGCGTGAGAGACAAATGGTTGTCGCAAGGGCGTACCTGGCCGTACGAGCCTTGGCCCATCGGGCGCACAAAGGCGTACCGACTGCCGCACTCCCAATTCTCAAAGTTCCACATGCGGGCCGCCGTGTCCGCGGTCGGGTCGGACGGCGCGCGGTGGAGCTGCTGGCGGTGCGCCTGGGCATGCGCTTGCGCGTGCTTCTCGAGCTGGTGCTTGGGCTCCGATTTAGTGCGGCGCAGCTGGTGCGGAGGCTGTGTCGGCGTCGCATACGTTGGCGTCGGGGCCATGACCGCCGACGGGCCGTACGGCGTCGGCGCGCAGTAGACGTTGTGGTGCATCGTGTCACCCGTGTCCATGCTCTTGACCGACGACGGAGTCGACGCGACGGGGTACGACTGGACCTCGCCCGTGTCCATGCTGCGCACCGACGATGGCGTGCTCGTCGCGCTCGCGGGCTGGATCTCGTGCGTCCACTCGGCCGACTTCATGCGCTTGAGCATCGGCGGCGTCGGCAGCATCTCGCGCATCGAGACCGCTTGGTGGATCGCGCTCTCGTACTCGGTCGACCGGTGGCGCTTCCCGCTGCCCTGCTTGACCATGGCTGCTGACTTCGGCTACCGAATCGACTGTAGGCCCAGAATCCTACTCTGTATCCCCAACGCTGCGTTTTTTATTTAAAAAATACGCGCCATATATCTTGGCATTTGTATGCGCTGCCTGGCTCGCTCGTGGTTTACCACTTCGCTTCGAACTTCGGTTTGCCGGTCCTTTTTTGTACCAGTTGATTGCCCCTTTGCCCTGGTACGTTGAGCGTGCTCTCAGTAGCCCACCGCCTTGGCAGCCACGTACATAGAACTAGTGACGTAGCGATTCCTTGCGCCGCTTGGTCCTTCCGCCGTCCTCGCCGGAGATACGAGCGCCATTCTCATGCGATCCCGAGACAAACTGGGTACGTGTGTCAGAAAAAAACACCAAAATACCAGCCAAATACCTCCGTTCTGCGTCCCGAGAGTGGACGCCGCAGGTAGATCTACGGGCACAGCCGAGCGTGTGGAGGTATAGTGTGGACGCAGTGTTCGACGTTGGTTCTCGTCGGTCGTCTGCCTTTGCAGAACAATCTGATGCCGGCGGTTTTCTGATGACAGCAATAAACTGACCCCGTGGCCGTCTCCAGTCTACAAGCTTGCGGTTTGTATGCGAAGCGGTGTCTCGAAGTTTCTGTCAATGACGGCATTTTGGCCAATCAAAACGATCGTTTCGGCTACAGCTTCGAGACACGGGAATCGACAGCATCGAGGGCCATGCAGTTGCGACCGAGATGGCTGGCGAGCGCTCGGACATGCATGGGATATGCAGTAGCATCAAGGTAGTCGCGGTGGCAAGAGTCGGCGAATATAAGCTTGACGTGTCGCGCGAATGTCGCCACGTGCGACCGGTAGAGTCGCAGAGGCGCTGCAGTACCTGGTACGTCGTCCTACGGTAGTTCGATCCACAACCTCCTCTGGGGCAGAGCAGGTTGGTCGCAGATACCAACCATGTCGTAGATAGCAGCTACCAATAGCTCAGTCAGCGTCTCTGGCAGCGCTTTTGGTGCTGCTCGTAAATGTGGCAAGTGCGAGCAATGCTACCAACATGCAACGGTTTATTGCCGACGAGTGTCTACACGCGCCATCCCTGACTCTACTGTACTTCTTCTTACTCGCCCTTGATGCACGTCACGATCCTAAGGACATGGTTGAGCCAACGATGATCGTCTCGCAGGGTCGTACCAGTCGAAGCCTTCGAAGAGCCCCGTGCCCTTGGTGGCCGTGGTTTCCTTGATGGACCACTGGCGATTCCGAATGTCCGAGAGGCCCATGGCCTCCGAGAGCTATGATACGTGCGAGTGAGCAGGGCAGATCGAATAGAGCGTATGTGTGCTACCTGCGCCGCGTTGAGCGCGCCACGCTGGTCCTGCTTGTTGGCAAAGACAAGGAGAAGCGAGTCCTTGAGCTCTTCCTCTTCCAGCATCGCGTGCAGCTCTTGCTTGGCAATGTTGAGGCGGTCGACGTCGGCGCAGTCGACGACGTAGATGATCGCGTCCGTGTTGGGGTAGTAGCAGCGCCAGTACGGGCGAATGCTGGTTTGGCCGCCGAGGTCCCACACCTGGAACTTGATGTTCTTGTACTGCAGCGTCTCGACGTTGAAGCCAATCGTGGGCACGGTCTGCTCAATCTCGTCGGCCTGGAGGCGGTCTAGCCACATGAGGATAAGCCGGCGACGCCGACCGCCAGCGCATGGACGTACACAGGATCGTGGTCTTGCCCGCGTTGTCGAGGCCCAAGATGAGGATGCGCACCTCCTTGCTCCCGAAGAGCGAGGCGAAGACCTTGGAGATCATGATGCCCATGCTTACGACCGACGCCTCCCGTTCGTCGCCCAAATGCAGTAATAGGCCGGGCACGCAAAAAGACGCGATTTCGACCAATCAACGCCGCTATTGCCGTCTCTTTTAAGCCAATCAACGCGTCGTTGGTGTTCCCACAACTGACTTTCCTTGTCGCCAACACACACGATCAAGCACTTGATACTCGACCGGCAAGGGCCCGAGAGCGTCTCAGGTGACTGCGTCCCATGGCACGCAGCAGGCCTCTCGCCCGCTGCACCGCGGCTCGTGTCGCTAGCCCGCTGAATTGATGCAGGCGCCAAGGCAAGCCTGAGTTTAAACTATACGAGAGAACAGCGTTTTGGCCTTTTGCCATAGCCCAGCGCCGAAACGCAAGCGCACAAGCTGATGATATCCTGTGCAAGATGAAGGCCACTTGGCGCTCATCTGCACCACTTTGGGTTGAAGCAGCCAGAGCTTGCGAATAATGTACTGGTAGCTCATCATGCACATTGCAGCGCATCGACTGTGGCAACGATGGCGTCGATCAGCGTCTCACGGGATCCACGAGAGGTGAGAGCCATGCGTATCGATCGAGCGTGCAGAGTGATCATGGCCTGCAGTGCAAGCGGACCGCGGACGTTGTTGCTGTGGGCTGTGAAAGGTGGGCCTTCGCAAGCACCGTCGGTTGCTACGCTGCGATGAATACGAGCTGGCTGTCGACTCTCTCGCGAACGGCGGCTCGTTGCAGCTCGTTGAATGAGCAAGAGCGTCCGTGGACTGTTGTGCGTGTTCAAACTCGCGCGTTGCAAGTTCGCGGCCGCGACCAATCAGATGCGTTGCTTGTGTAACCTTCGCAATGTGTGTTTCTGGGTGCGCGAACGTCAGATGCAATATTTGTTCGGCCGATGAGCGATTCACCGCCGCCACCCCCGCCACCGCCGCCGGCGTCCCCGCGCCGACCGCCTCCGCCAGAGCCGACGCCGTCCCCGCCGACGTCTGCGCCTCCTCCGAGTCGCGTGGCTCCGACCACGGCGGTGGTCCCGATCCCGTCGTCCAAGCTGCTGCAGCACGCGCCGCTTGATATTGCGGACGACTTGGATCGGAACTGGGCGTGGCACTATGCAGCTGCGCAGAAGACGCTGCAAGGCGAGAAGGACCGTGACGCCTGCCTCGCCAAGATCATGGCGAGCCAGGGCTTTGAGAAGCACACGGCGATGCTGTATGCGTGCTTGACGGCCGAGTCGACCGCCGACCGTGACCTCTACTGGCACGTCCTGCGTGCGCTCGTGGCCGAGACCGACGCTGTCCGCGGCACCACGATGCAAGGGCTCCAGTCGCTCATCGAATTGCGCTTCCAGAAGCTCCTGAGCGGTCCGCGCGCCAACTTGTACTTTGTGCTCGAGCAAGGCCTCTCGCTGCATATGGACACTCTTCTCATCGTCCTCATGCGGTACGTCAATGCCTCTGCATACAGTCTCTCTCACGCGATGTAGCCACATTGGTCCTCTCTCGGTGACGCCGTGCTTGACGAGCTGGTTGCTCACGGTGCTCGGCGCGCACCTGACGACGCTCAGCGACGCGGTCATTGCGCATGCCACCTACACGCTTCTAAGCATTGTGCCCGAAGCCATGGCCTCTGCGGTATGTATCTCGGTTCTCTTCTGCCATACTCATGGGCGACTGAATAGGCACCACCAGCCAACCTCCTCGACGTGTGCAACCGTCTCTTCCTCGAGAAAAAGGCTGTCGTTCTTGGCTTGGGGCGCGAGCTCGTTCGCCTTGCGTACGACTGTCGGGACCTCCTTCCGGCGCTCTGGGCCGACGTCCAGAGCCAACACCTTCCGACGCTCATCGGGACGCCGACGCCGGCCAAGTTTCTCATCTGCCGCCTCTCGGCCAAGATGCAGGACCAGCTGCGCTTCTTGACGGACAAGGTTCTGCACATTGCCGCGCACCGGTACCAAAAGTGGTTTCAAACTTCGTTTCTGCAAGGGCCGCTCAACGGCGGCGTCATCGCCGACGTGGTGCGGTACATCTGCGCCGTGTACCATCCGACGTCGCAGGTCGTCGAGGCCAAGATGACGCCGCGCTACCACGTGCTCGGCTGGATCTTCCTCCTCTGGTCTACATACCCATGCGCAATGGTCCCTTATATATATTTTGTGCGTAGCAAAACGCCGTTGGCAAAGCAGCGTGCGCTCCACGCCATGTTCTTCGACTACATTTACTTTGTCCACGATGTGTCGGTGATGAACCTCGAGCCAACAATGATGCTTTTGGTAAGTCGAGTCGATCACGAGGCGAGAAGACTCATATTGGCGGCAGCTCAAGTCGACCAAGAACCGCAATTTGACCATGGTCACAGACATGCTCACGTTCCTCGTGACTGCGGTCGAGGCGGGCGAAAGCGACCGAGCGAGCCAAAGCATGCACGCGCTCATCCAGAAGGGCGTCATGCGCAGCGTGAGCCCGGTCATCGAGGCCATCAAGGACGACCACGCGCTCCTTGCGCGGCTTCAACGCGCGGTCCCGGCGCACTTTTCGCCCAAGAGCAACCCGCCATCGACGACTTCGTCGCCGGTTTCATCGCCGAGCCACCAGCAGTCACCTGTGTACACGCAGCCGTCCCCGCGCCAGCCGTCCCCGCGGCAGCCGTCGCCAGGCCATCAGCCATCGCCCAGTCACCGCCAGTCGCCAGGCCGTCAGCCATCGCCGAGCCGCCATCAGCCATCGCCGAGTCGGCAGTCGCCCAACCAGCGCAAGTCGCCGGGGCAGTCGAGCCCGAGCATTTCGCGTAGCCCTGGCAACGCATCGCCGACAACGTCGTCGACCGAGCTGCACGACGAGCCGGACGCGTGGCAGGAGCAGTCGTTTCTCCAAGAGCGGACGCAGTCGCTCGAGACGGCCGTGGCGCCCGTCACCTTTCCCGAGTCGCTCCGGCCATTCGAAGAGCCATTGCAGTTGCTGCTGTCGGCCCACGACAACGACAAGCTCTGCAATGCAATCGCTGTCGTGCTCACGGCGTGGAGTCACTCGCCAGACGCGATCGCGCTGAGCACCGACCTCGGCGGCTTTATGTACAAGTGCCTCGAGCGGTCCTTCCTCACGAGTATGGCCACGCCGCAGTATGTGCTCGAGCAGTGCCTCCAGCGCCCGCCGCAGCTGTACTTGCCGCTGCTCCACGTACACCTTTTTGTATGACACAAGCGCTCATCCCTGGTTGCTCGTAGGGCATGTTCAAGCACGACTCGGTCATGAGTCACCGCCTTCTCGTGCACTGCTGCACGCAGTCGGGCAAGAAGCCGGACGAAGCCTTCCAGCCGTACCTCTCGTTTTGCGAACTCGTGGGCATCGAAGCGCCGACTGCGATTCTGCAGGACCTCTCGCTCAGCGTGCACGTGGACGAGGCCATGGCGCTGGCGTCGTCGCTCTTGCAGCAGCCGTCGACGCCGTCGGGCGCGGCCGTCGAGACCACAGTGCTGCGCGTGCTGCCGTTCCTCTTCCGTCACAGCTCGGAGCTGAGCAGCTGGGGCGCGCTCCCTCGCATGGATGCAATGGTGCGCCAGCTCGTCTCGATCGCGACGCCGTGCCAGCTCAGTACGCTCTGCATGCGCGTGCTGTTGAAGGAATTTGCGATCTTCCGCGACCACATGGCCACGATACTGCTGAGCTCGCTGCAGTGGAGCGCGTTCGAGCAGCAGAGCACGTGGGAGCTCCTCGCCGTCGAGCAAGAAGCCAAGAAGAAGGACAAGGGCGTGCTTGCGGCCTTGCGCAAGGTGCTAGCGTGCATGGACCCGCGCGTGCACGGCGAGGCGCTCGCGGGGCTCCTGCGCCTCTTGCTCCACGCTGTGCCCGACACGACCGCGCTCCAGTGCATCACCAAGCTCTCAGATGCGTTTGACCCGTTCCCGCTCAGCGTCCTCGCGGTCTGGAGCGAGAAGCACCCGAGCATCGTCAAAGGCTACCTCCTCAGCGAGAACAAGGACACAAAAGACGTGCTTCGGCAGCTCAACAAGCTCTATGCGATCGACGAGCCGCCGGCCGAGGTCTACGCCGACGACGACGTGCGCCGCGCGATCGCCAAGGCGCTGGAGGGCTTTGCCGACGCGGCCGAGACGTACCCGACGCTCGTTGAAGTCTGCGTCGAAGGATCGCCCCACAAGAAGCAGCGCACCGACGAGTAAGCGACAAGACGCACCTGGATATAAGATGGTTCTCGTAAGCTGGAGGACGTAGCAGCGCGTTGGCTCGACAAGGTGGGCTGAGGGCGTGGAGGAACTTGCATCGAACAGAAGTATCAACTTGATACTAGTATTCTCACAGATACTAGAGTCGGACGAAGGAATAGTAAGCAAGAATAATTAGCAAACACACACATAACAAACGTCGCGCGCTAGTACAAGACCATTTGGTGGTCGCGCTTGATGAGGTGGCGGCGGAAGATTTGCCAGCAGTTTTCCCACGACCAGCCAGCGCTCGCGTCTTCCACGTGGCGCCGGTTCAGGGCCAAGCACGCGTCGACGTTGGCGCGGAGGTCGTCGCCCATGATGCCGGTGACACCGTGCTCCAAAATGTCTTTGGGGCCTGTCACGTTGTAGGCGGCGACGGGCGTCCCGACGGCGAGCGCCTCGATGATGACGACGCCAAACGTGTCGGTGCGCGACGGGAACACGAGCACGTCCGCATTGGCATAGTACTCGGCCAGCGCCGAGCCTTTTTGGAAGCCGGTGAAGAGGATCTCGGGGTGCTTTTGCTGCAGCTCCTTGCGGTACGCGCCGTCGCCGACCACGATCTTGGTGCCGGGGTACTCGAGGTTGCAAAAGTCGTCGAGGCCCTTTTCCTTGCTGACGCGCCCGACGCTGAGCAAGATCGGGCGGCGCAGTCCCTGAAAGTCGTGCTGGCGCAGCGCGCTTCGAAAGATACGCCGGTCGACGCCAAACGTCATGGGCTTGATGTGGTTGTAGAAGCCGTGGTGCTCGAGCTCGTTGACCATGCTCGACGTGGTCGTGAGGACGCGCGCCGAGTTGCGGTGGAACCAGCGGAGGTACGCGTACCCAAAGCTCTCGGGCACGCCGTACATGACGTTGATGTACTCGGGGATCTTGGTGTGGTAGCCCGAGTTGTACTTGATGTTGCGCCGGTCGCAGTAGATGCGCGTCGCGAGGCCCAACGGGCCTTCGGTCGCAATGTGAAAGTAGTCGGGCGCGATCTTGGCGACCTTCTCGTCAAAGCCAATGGGCAGCGACATCTTGATGTCCGGGTAGCCCGGGCAGTCAAAGTGCGGGAACTCGCTCGGGTTGAGGTACACGAGGCGGAAGCCGTCGCGCTCGGCGAGGCCCTCGATGTTGTTGAACATGGTCACGACGCCGTTGATGTTGGTGCGCATGTTGTCGTTGACGACGAGGATCGTCTGCACGGTGGGCGACGCGCAGAGCGGCGTGAGCTCGGTTGGCGGGCTGCTGCGGTGGTCGTTGGGCGCCATGGTCGTCGCAGCTTTGGAAATGACTGCCACGTCGCGTCGGGCGGTCGTCCACGGATAAGAAGGAGCTCAATTTGTCTACGCGATCGAGATTCGGACTGGAATCTGCTCGAATCTAGGACATATCCTTGCTCTGACAAAGTAAACCTTGGATACGCTGGTCACACGCAACTTTGAAGCGCCGATGCCTCGATCCAGCCGATCTGCACGTCATACACCAACAACCTCGATAGGACATAGCGACTCCGCCGTCCGTGTAGATAATAGATAAGGCTGTGTCGCTCTTGCTTTGTTCGGCATCTCTCTGTGAAACGCGGGAGATGCAACAGGGCTTTGTCTATGGGTATACAAATATCAAGTAAACGTTGCGTGTATTTAGACTATGCTTTGCATCATGCGAAACACTGGTCAATCGGCGACGCCGCCGTGAGCACCGACAAGCAGTCGATGGCGGAGCGATGCTGCAGCAATACCGAGGGTCGAGGCAGCGTTGCTAACGACAGGTGCAAAAGCGTCGTTCGGAGTGTCGCGTCACACTCGTGGGGTCATAACGTCACCGCGTCTTTGCTTGGGCGTGAAATTCGGATCAGCCGAAACTTGAAGCAAGTGACCAGTCCTTGGCAGCGGTATACAAACATCAAGAGTACGGACAACGTACCTGCGTATTTTGCCAGCGAATCAGAGGGTGCCAAGTCAATAGGGCGGGTGCACTTGTCGTTTGTATGTGCTGGACGTTGGTGGTGTTTGTTGAAGGAGATGACAGGAACGGGAGAAGCTTGGACCTGCAAACACCCAGTCCTTGAAGACGCTTTCCTTCAAGAAGGAAGCACGGGAGGATGCCTCAGGCGCCATTTCCAGACAAATCGAACCTCGAGATTCCAATTTAATGCAATGAATTTATCACAAATATCAAAATTATCAAAATATAGAAATCTTCTCGTCAGCGAGCACATCCTTGGACACGACAACCAAGAACGACCTATGCAAGGGTCGAGTACTGGTTGATTCGATCAAGATACATTCGTATTCTGGCACGACGAGCGTGGCTTGGGGCGGCGATACCAAGAACTTAGAACTCTCACCTCCACATTCGCGGGCAGCAGTGTATTGTGCTCGACTTTAGTACATCGTCTCGACGCTAAACACAAACTATCCCTGGAGCTGGCTAGACAGATAGCATGTTCTCGGGCGAGACAAGCGGCGTGCGTTCGGTTGGCGAGAGCTGCCCTTTGCGAGAGCTGCTGCCATTGTTGGTATCGTGCTTGACGCGCATGAGCGCGAGGACGAGACCTCCAGGAAGCAACTCGGGTATCGCGTAAAACAGCCTACGCCAGCCATTTGCAGCCCGTTCCGTCCTCTTGGCTTGCCTACCACGGCGTTGCCGTTGCCTCGAACGACGCGACGGGCGTCAAAAGAAACAAAATGGCGCGGAGGAAGAAGAGGCCGGCGCAGAGCAGACCTAAGACCGTCACGCGCGTCGCGACATAGGTCGCCACACGCGAATGCTCTTGCGCATCAAAGAACTGCCGCAGTCGGAAGGCGTCGTAGCCCTACGAGGCGCTTCAAGTGGCACGAGGCGTTGTTGGTACGTACGAGCGCGCCGGCGAGACCGCAGAAGAAGATGGCGGTGCACCACCCGTCCGAATTCATGTACCACGTCGACTCGCGCTGATCGGGATAGACTGTCTATCGCCAAACTCATACATCTACAGTACTACTGGCAAGACAACCCAGTACCTTGATGAGCAGCAGCGCAATCTCGACCGCGTACATCCAGACGTTGGCGATCACGAGCACGTTGCGCTGGCGCGACGGGCGGGTGCGTTGGACCTAGTCATCACTGCGTCGGTCGTGAAGCGAAGTGGATCGGTACCGGCGTCCGCGCCGACTGGTCGTGCGTGCTAGTGGTGTGGTGCAGCATATCGGCCCAAAACTGCACGAGAAGCGTAAAGGCCGAGATATACAAGAGCGTCGCGAGCTTGTTCCAGCTCAAGACGCTGAGCGGGTAGAGGTCGAGTGTCATGTGCAGGAGCGGCACAAAGACGATGACGTTGCGATAGCGTCCATTGTCCGCATCATCGTCGCTGCTGCTCTCTGCAACTTGCATGGCGTGCACGTCGAGGAGGATGAACCACGTAGCGCGCGCCGCAAACGCCACGAGGAGCAGGAGCGGGAAGAACCGAACGCGGCGCACCGGCAATAAGATCGTGTTGTGGCCATGCTCGCGGAGGTACGCCCGGCGCAAATGGATGTAGCCAGCGAAGACGGCCGCGCCGAGGTAGACATAGGCACACACCATGAGCATCGACGTCTCATGGAAGCAGTGCGACGGGCCAAACGTGCAGGCCATCGCCGTCGTCCGTTCAAGATCGCAACTCGTATCCGGATCGCGTCCATGGTTACCGGATGCGATCGGCAATCTGACGTGGCACGACCACAGCGCGGCAAGGCGAATATCCGAAACACCTCGACTTAGAGCACCAATAAGATCCAAGATCTTGATCTTGTGCCAAACCAGGTGTGACCACTCGCGTCGTTCCTTGCTTTTGTGGTACATGGCTTACAGTAGGCAAACAAGGAAACATTGAATTCATTGGATTTGATGGAAGTGGTACAGTGTACGTTGGTCCGTGCGTGTAGCTGCGTCGAATGCAGTTAAAAGTTCTCAAAGAACTCTTCCCCTGTGTACTTGGGAATCGAGGCGCCTTCTGAGCACCGGTCAAAGTTGGAGACGTCGACGCCGCTCTTAATGGTCGGCACGTACGGTGCCTTCATGCTCTTGGCGACAAGTGCCTTCCAGTCAAATTTGGCGTTTGCAAACCACGGATGGTTGACGACCTCCATCATGCCACCCGCCAACGACCCTAGCCATAGACGTCCATGATCCTACACTAATGTTGTGGCACCTACCGAGGCGAAGACCCGGGTTGGGCTCGAGGAGCTTGGTCACGAGGTCCTGCGCGAGCGGGTCAAACTTGGGGTGGAACTTGAGCGACGCCTTGGCGTGAATGATCTTTTCAAAGATCTTTTGCTGCTCTTGGTGCTGGAACGGCGTGCGCCCCGCAATGAGCTCGTAAATGAGGCAGCCGAGCGCCCAGTAGTCGACCGACTTGCCGTGCCCCTTGTTGAGCACGAGCTCGGGCGCGAGGTACTCGGGCGTGCCACAGAGCGTAAAGCTGCGCTCGCAGAGCTGGCTGCCCTTGTAGAACGGAATGTGCTTGGCAAAGCCAAAGTCGACCATCTTGAGATAGCCCTTATCGTCGATCATGAGGTTCTCGGGCTTGAGGTCGCGGTACGCGACGCCGAGGGTCTGAAGGTACCGGAAGACCTCGACCACGTTTGCAATGTAGAAGCGTGCCGATGGAAGATCGAACGCGCCGCAGACCCCCTTGGGAACGTTGTAGGCTTTTTCGTAGAGCAAGCTCCAGAGCTCGCCGCCCTGGACCAACTCTAAGAGCATGTAGAGCTGGTCGGCGTCCGTGAACGTCTCGTAGAGCTTGAGCACGAACGGGTGTTCGCACTCGTTGATGATGCTCTTTTCGTGGAGAACGTTGCGCTGCTGGTGCGTCTCGACGATGTTGACCTTGAGCATGCACTTGAGCGCAAATGTCTTGCCCGTCGTCTTGTGCTTGACCATGAGGACGCGGCCAAAAGTGCCGGTTCCGATGGTCTGGATCTTTTCAAAGTCGGCGAGAGCATATTTCTTGGGCTGCACGACCTGTTGGTGCGACGGCGTCGTTGCCTGGAGCACGGCTTCTTGCATGAGCTGCTGGCGCTTCGTCTCGCGTGTTAAAATGTGCTCGAGCTTCCCGAGAAGACGCTCGAACGCGCTCCGGTCGAGGCAAAGGCACTCGACGTGGCCATTCGCAAAGCAGTTGGCCGCCCGAGGCTCCTTCGACAAGAGCGCTCGCTCGCCAAAGAACTCACCGGACCGGAGCTGCATGATCTCAATGCCAGTCTTCTGAACGCTCACTTTGCCGTCGGAAATGATGTAAAACGTGTCGCCGGCGTCCCCTTGGCGCAAAATCTGCTCCTTGTCTTCGTACGAGACGACGCGGAGCGCGTGCGCGAGGAGGTCGAGCTCGTCGTCCGTGAGGTAGTTGAGGAGCGGCACAGATCGAAGCACGCGGATGCGCATTTGGCGGTCGAGGAGCGAGCGAAGCGGCCCAAGGAGCTGTGTAAACTCGTTGCGACCGAGGACATAGCAAGCGACTTTGCCCTTTGCGATGCAGTTGGCTTGGCGCGGCTCGTTGAGCATGAGCGCCATTTCGCCAAAGTATTGGCCTTTCGTGAGGCTCATGAGCGGCTTCTCGCCGTCGTTGATGGTCGTTGTCGTGCAGAGCACGGTGCCTTCGACCACAATGTAGAAAAGGTGGCCTTCCTCGCCCTGCCGGATGATGTAGCTGCCATCGGCAAACGTCTCGAGCTTCATGGCGGCCGCGACCTTCTGGAGCTGGTTGTTGCTCAGGCGCTGCAGCAAATCGACGTTTTGAAGAAACTGGACTCGCGACAACTGCATCGTCGAGGCCGTCGTGGCGAGGATCTTGCGGAACGACGTACGGTCGACCGTCCAGAGGCTGCACGGCGCAAGTGCTTTGATGGTCGCCGCGCGCGGACTGTTGTAGAGGAGGGCGAGCTCGCCAAAGGCGTCGCCGGACGCGTACTGCCCGACGACTTCGTTGTTGACGAGGATTGCGCAAGCGCCGCTCTCGAGGATGTAAAATACGTTCCCGGGCGTGCCTTGCAAAATGATGTCGGCGCCGGCGTGGTGCTGCACGTTGCTCATCGCGTTCATAATGTCGAGGATCTCCGAGTCGTCGAGCGAGCTAAAGAGGTAGTGCCCTTTGAGCGCCTTCATGATGACGGCCTTGGTCTCGACCGATTTCGGAATCACCGTCGCGGCGTGCGCTACCCGATGGTCGTCCGGCTCGACGGAGAGGTCGTTGATCGGGGCGCGGCGCACACCACGGGCCTCGGACGCTGGCGAGACCGGGGCGGGCTGCCGCACCCCCATGCCGTCGTCACTCACGCTGAGCTGCTTGACCTTGGCCTGCAGCGGCGCAGGCGGGGCGGAGAGCTGGTGGGCCATGGCGCCAAAGAGGAAATG